TACACTATATGTTAACCAACTAGAATTTAAATAAAAACTTGAAATATTAAGAAAATAAATGAATAAAATAAAACATGGCCCGTCTGGTAGGACTTCTTTCCTGTAGCATACAACATCATACTATTTATCAATGACATTAAAAAAAATAAAATAATACATTATTAAACTTCTTAGCAAGGAAATTATTTTGATCTAACTCAATTAAATTAGAATGCCCACTAAAGGCATTTGTAGGTCAAGTTACAGGACCTCTTTGGGAATTTAATACTTTATCAGGAAACAAACAATCATGTCTTTCCAAATTAAAAGGAAAGTTACCCCCAGGCTTCTCTTCCCTTCTTGTCACCTATCTTATGCAGCTTTATTTTCATTTTCCAGAATTCTGTAGAAGATGTTCTGGCAGCTTATAAAGTACATTCAAACAATTGATTTAAAAACAATATTGCTGACATGCTACACTACTTTTATATTGTTCCAACTTAGTAAATGAACAGAAAAATATTCTGCAAATAGCAGGGAGTGTATTTACCTAAAAAACCTCCTTTATAGGGACCATATTAAATGATACATGAACTAAATTTTGAAGAATTGCCACAAGGATTCTCAAAGACGCTTGTAAGCAATTGCCCTCATTCTGCCTGTTATTTTCTGCGTATGGAATTTCTCTCAGGGCATATTAAAATCACACCTCTTCTGCATATAATATTCAAATGTTTGTTCTTAAAAATTTTATTCTGTGGACTAAATTCTGTCTCTGTCTCTGTCTCTGTCTCTTTTTCACTGTTGGATCATTAATTCCAGATTTATTAGTTTGAGCAGTGATCCATAGGAATGCAGTTGTGCTCTGAAACGGATAAACGAAAGCCGGTGAACTTTCTGAAACATTTTTAGTCACCCTTAAGTGTAATTTATTTATTTTGAATATTGCCGTTTTCTAGAAATTTTCAATAAAACCCAGTTATAACCCTTCACTGTCATTTTCAGCTTCACAAACGTTTCATGAAATCCCCTTTCCATTTTTGTTTAATTTTTTTAAATGTTTATTTTTGAGACACACACACACTCACACACACACACACACACAGAGCCTGAGTGGTTTCATGAAATCTCCCTTTCCATTTTTGTTTAATTTTTTTAAATGTTTATTTTCAAGAGAGAGAGACACACACACATACAGAGCCTGAGCGGGGAAGGGCATAGAGAGAAGGAGACAACAGAAT